TGGTGTTTGCTTCTTTCTCCAACAGAATTTGAGGAATGCCTCTTCCTGCAATACCAGAGAGCCAGATTGGCACTTCTAGATTGAAGCTAGCCATTTCTTCTTTAGTACAAGGGTGAACAATTAGGTACTTCTGGGCCCTGGCTGTGAAATCTTAAAAAAAAAAAAAAAAAAAAAAAAAAAAAAACCAAACAGGTTGTAAGATCTGATGTGAGAAAACACATTCTCACAAGGTTTTGAGGGCTGCGTAAAATCTTGCGTAATCAGCCAGGTGCTCTGGCATCTGAAGACCCGCAATTGCTAAAACAAATCGTAGCTAGCAATATTTGATTCGAATTTACAGTTCTTCTATCCTTGGCAAATTAGTTTTCTTACTTAATAATGGTTGTTTCCTAAATTCAGTGGTAAAGAATATGCTTTACATATAAAAGATCTTTGGTTCAATCTCAAATGACGCATCTGGAGAACTCTACAATCAGAGACACTAAAGAAATCCATTAGTCAGAAATGGATCTAATATTTACAGGAAGTAGTGATGGGCAATTCTATTTTCTCCCCAAATTTGTATTTCCAAATACTGTTACTTAGCCAGTACCTAGCAGGATACAGATGACTTTTTAAAAAGCCATACTGGATCAGAATTACCGATGATAAACTAGATGCCTATGAAGCATCCACCGTGGAATATGAAGACATAATTTCTCAAGAATGGATGTTCAGTGAATACTGCCAACCTTACCCCTCCCTGTTCCACCTTCTTGACTGGACTCGTGTTCTTATCCACCAATAGTGAGTCATTACCCTTCAAATCTGTCCTCCTCTACATGGCCTTGGGAGAATGTGGTAAATCAAAGCTGTTTCTCATTTCAAAGATCTTTATTCAGGGGGCCTTCCAACTGCACTGTAGCCTAAAATTCTTAGAATCATAGGGCTGAAAAGGACCCTGGAGGTATTAAGAGTCAAATTTCCTGTCCAGGGTAGGAGACCTTATTAAATCCTGGATAAATGGCTGTCCAGTCTTTTCTTGAAGGCCTCCAATGAAAGAGCATCCAAACTCTGGGAGGCAAGGTGTTCCACAGACAGTTCTTACTGTCAGGAAATTAGTTCCAAATTGGATCTGTCTTTAATAAATTTCCACCCATTGCTTTTTGTCTTGCCTCAAATGCTTTGAATAATAAGTCAACCCACTCCTCCCTGTGACAGTCCCTCAAGTACTGGAAGATAGCCTGTTACCTTAATCCTTCTCTTTGTTAGGCTAGAAATATCTACCAGTAGTTTCCTTAACTGTTTATCATATGGTTTAACCTCTAGTACCCATCATCTTTTTCGTTCTTTGTACTCTTTCTAGGATTGCAGCATTTTTTGTATCAGATCTGGACACAGAATCCCAAGGGTAGCCTCACTAGTTCAGTATAGAGCATTATATCACTTCTCATGATCTTGATACTATCCTCCTGTTGATGCAGCCTAGGACTGCATTGGTTTTTTAGGTAGTTGCAACACACTGCTGGCTCATATCATCTCAAACAGCAGAATAAGCACATCTGAAATTTCCCAGAATAAATTCTTCTATTATGTCTAACTTCCTGTTTCCCAAGCCTGTAAAAGCCCATTGCTTGATGTGGATCATATATCCAACAGCAGGATGCTGAGATAATACATTTGGAAAATATGCACTGAAACCTATTTCCATGGGGAATGAAACTTGAGGGAAAAAAATATTTAGGAATGGTGATGGCTTCAATTCCTGGTTCTAATTACAAGAATTGTTATGACCTTCCTTATTCTGGCATCTCCCAGCAATTATCCCATTATGCTCTCTAGCAAAGGCTGTCTCCAAACAAGTTCATGGTTATGATTTAGTAGAGTTCTCACTCAAGACACAAATGACAGGTTCAAATGATCTTACTTTGTACTTATGCAAAGACCTAGCTCTCTATAGAAGATTCTTATGCTGGGACAGTTGAAAGGAAACAGAAGAGGGTGACTAACAACAAGGTAGATGAACTCAGTTACAGTAGTTATGAGTGTGTTGTTGAAAATGATGAAGACCAGGTTAAATCGTAGGCAGATAATCATGACAAAAATTTATCTATGTGGTTATTAAAAGTTAACAATTTGATGGCACATCATCCTCATCATCAAACACAGGGTAAATCAACTGGACTTGTATTACAGTATCTACTGGTTCATGTAGTATACTTTTTTTTTAGAAACAGAGAAATATGTTTTTTTTCTTTTTCCAAGTTATCTTTGCTCAGTTTCTCTTGCAAATGTCTGCAAGAAAACAACCAAGCTCAGAGAGCACCAGATTACCCACAATTCAACCCTGAACTACAAATGTTCTCTTCTATTGGTACTATCTACAACAGTGGTGTCAAACTCACGTTGTCACAGCGGTGTCGCGTGACGTATAGGGACTCCCCCCTCGCTAAAACGGGTGTGGGCGTGGCTAGCATGTGATGGATCCGGCCTGTGGGCTGGGAGTTTGACAAACCTGATCTACAATATTTGGTAAAACTAGGCTCCTTATGGTTTCAAACTCAATCTTTTTCACCTCTTTCTAGAAGGGACAATTGTTCCTTCTGGCCTGTTGTTTAAAAAAAGGCAAACTGTGAAAATGGTAGCATGGAAACATCTCAAAGTCGCAGTTGGTGAAGTATAATTTTAAATGGGATATAAGAATCTGAAGGACACATTATGGAATGGGCTTCCAATTTCAAACAAACCTGAGTCACTGTTACATCTATCATCATATTTTGTTTGGAAAAATGTATTGAACACAATTATTGGCTTTTGTTCTAATATATATTCCTTTTTATAATTGCTACCTATATAGGAACTATTATGATCCACGGAGTGCATACAACCCTTTCCACAACGTATCTCTTAGCAAAAGTGGGGAATCCTTTGTGGAAATGGGGATCCCTTTTTCCTTAACATGCGTCTGGCCTGAGATATTTTTCCAAGGGCTGCAACCCTGTAACAATTTACTCAAAGCTAAGTCCCTCATAATACGACTTCCAAGAAGTTTATATAAGATTGCAGCTTTATAAAGCAATCCTTCCTCTATTGTTGAGGCCTCCAGACAAATTCCAAATCCTATGGTCTGACAGGATAGAAAAGAAAGGATTTTAACATCCGTTCTCTTCTTCCAACCAAGTTATTTCAATTTTTTTTTCTTAAAAATATCCTCAAATTGAAACTAGGAGGAAAAAGCTGATCCATAGTTGGTTTAGGAGTGCTTTGAAGTTTAGCTTGGGGGGTCAGAAGAGCTGCAAATCCACTTTAGCATTTCTCTTGCTTCCTCATATTCCTTGTTTTTTTTACATCAAAATCCTGATAGAGAGACTCAGAGAGGGTGTTATAATTTATATGGCTCTCCAAATGATGTCTTTTCCCTTACCTTCAGAAGAGGACATCTGAAAAATCCCACAGCTTCTGGAACTACCTCCCAGGACTACAGTATGTCACTGCATTTTCCATCACAACTAAAATGTCATCCTTCCTTCACATCACTACTTCCCCTCAGGAAAACATAGTGAAGCTACACAGGGCAAATTGTGCTAGATTAACTTTTCCCAATAAGGTTTTTTGGCTGGAACGTCTGGGAGACCCCCAGTTCAAAGAGATTTCAAACCTCCCAGATTCTGGATGGATGCAGTAAAGTGACCTGAGCCATCTGTTTTCTATGATTGGATGTTTTCTTTTTACTTTGAATTGGTTGATTGATTTGCTGATGACTGATCTACTGCCCTTTTATTGTATTTTAATGTGAGATTTTCTGCTTTGGTGATGCTTAGTCCCCAAATGCTTTGATAGGAATGCTAAGAATAATAACAACAGTAAATATTGTAGTATTAAAAAATAACATATTTCAGTGGTACTCCCCAGAGAAACAGTTTAGCACAAGTATTTCATGCATGTGTTCTGACCTAGGCTTCCTGAGTCAGTAAAACACACGAGTAGTCCCGAAAACCTCTTTTATTGCAACAGCTGTGAATTCTGTTCATTCACAGATGAGTACCAAATAGTTGTAAAGAGTCCTTTGGGATAAGGCTGATAATCACCCACCTTTACTTCCCTTGACACATTACCAAACACCTAATTGGCAAAGCCACACAGAGTCCAGAATCAAACAGAGCTTCAGACTTTAAACTGAACAGAATTAACAATGTTGCTTCCTGCAAAGGCCCATGTGCCTTTGCTCCTTTTTTAAGTTTTATGGGAGGGGCCAATCATCTCCAAGCCCTACTCCCAAGTCATCCCTTTTGTTTTAACTGTTCTTGCTTTCTGGCAGCTCTGTGCATGCGTGCACTGGGAACAGGTTCCCCATTCCTCTGCCTTGCTGAGGTCCAACTCTGGAGGCTCTGGAGGCAGCACATACCTTCCAGATGGCCCTTTCTCTGCCTCCAGTGCAGAGCCCTCGTCCAAGCCTTCCCCAGATTCCAGGACTGGCCCATGTTCCTCCCCAACCTCCTCACTGTCCGACTCTGCTGCCAGCTCCGCAGGCTGCCGGCAGACCACAACAGCGTGGCGAAGAAAGAATCCACACAGAATTGAGAAAGAGAGCCATTGTGTCAATCAGACCAGAGGGTGGGGGTTTCCCCCCCTTTTTTGAGAACTCTGGAGACTATTTTGCATGGCTGAGCCAAATTACTATAGCAACAGCATGAGTCAAGTGGGTGGATTTCTTGTGGGCTCTTTTAATGACTCATTTTTATTTATTTGTTTCTTGAAGAAGAAATGCCTCAAACATATTTTCAAACTGTAAAATTATTTTTTAAAAATCTAAATATCATAGCATAATATAGACACCTTTCTCTAAAAAATCATACTCCCACAGATTGTATACCATAATAATAGTTGTAATCTTTGGAGGCTTCCTCAGAATAATCCTCCCGGTGATGAATGGGTTGGGGACAGCAGGCGGAGTCAACATCCGAGCAGCTGTCTTTGGATTACGAGATAAAAGTAGGCAAACTTAATATAATTTTGTGAACTGTTTAGATAGGTAGCATCATCTTGCAATATAGGAAGTAGCAATATTTTTTAAATACCATGCGGAATGTGAAGAGACGTCTTCTCAGGAACAAACATAGGAAAGCATAATAAGCCGCATGAGTTAACTCACCCCCATCTAACTGGAAGAGGAAAAGTGGGGTAAGTAAACTTAGGTTAATATGTCAAGAAAAACTAGATTCTAAATTAAGGAAATTGGGAGTCCATGGTAGGAAGTTTTGGAACAATTTTAAGCCTAAGCAGTATTTTACAATACTGTACCCAAAATGTTCAGTATCCAATATGATGAACTCTTCCTTAGATAATATCTTAAGGAACATGTTTGCATTCAAAAAGCCACAAGACTTTTCATGAGGTTACAATTTTATTCTGATCTGGGAAGGGGCAACTAGTTATTAGTTATCTACCTAGAACTCCTTGCTTCACCAACAATCACTGCCCCATGTTCCTTAACTGCTCTCCTTCCAGCTCAGAGCTTGATGACTGGATATCAGATTTAATTGGCAAGGAGGCAAAAATTAACATGGATGGAATGCAGTAGGGGAATGGGACAAAATAGGTAGGACCATGCGTTATTTTGTTTTTCCTTTGCTTTATGCGGTGTTGTCTGTTTCAGACCTTAGGTAACAACTTTATTATGCTCACTAAAAACTTTGAACATGCATCAGCAACAGCATCTGCAGGATGTTTGTGTGTGTGTGTGTGTGTGTGTGTGTGTATGTGTGTAAGGAGATCAATGATGACAGAGTGTTGCAATGAAATTTCTTACTGCTTTTGAACGTTTAACAAAGGGATGGGGCTTATATTGCACCATCTACTGTCTTTTTTCAGACAACTTTAACTTACAACTATTAGTTCAGACACCATTCAAAATTACAACATCACTAAATGAAGGGACTTACAACCCCTATTCAAAATTATAGCCGCTGCAGAGCCTGCGTGAACAAAATTTGGGCACTTGGCAATCTGCCCAGTCTTACAACTGACGGCATGGATGCTGCAGTGGCCCCACCACCTATCTTCCCCCTTCATCTCGTTCCGTTGAGTTCCTGTAGGATTGGGGGTGCTTCCTCACCACCCAGTCACGGCTTGGACCTTTACCTTTTCTATAGATCTCCTTTAGGAAGCAGGAATCTGCCGCATGGACTTCCTACCTGGAAGTTCCTACACAGTATTGTCCCAGAAGTGGACACCATTTGGGGAGTGGATACAATGAATTGCAGCCGCTCTAGTATAGAGACTGCTTCCAGGACAGTGTCCCTTGGCTTCCATAATGGATAGGGAGGTCAAGGGGCGGAGCAGCTGGCTCTCCTTCCTGAATGCGATCTTCAGATCACCATAAATCTTCAGATCATTAACTTTTCCAATGTCAGCAAAAAGTCCTTATAGGATTTCCAGAATTTTATAGAAATATTTTAACCCTGTTCAAACAAGCCAACTCTATATTCTTTTCTTTTTGCTCAATATTCTAACATTCTTGATCTTTTATTTAATATTAAGATGCTTTTGATCTCTGTCCAAATCTCCTTTTTCCCATCTCAACCTTTTCTCCAAGATTCTAATAGTCCTTTTTGTAGTTCTAGTAATAGGTCATCCCCAGATCACATTTCAACTCATGACTTATTGCATAATCTGAAAAACCACTTCTTCCTGATTTCACTGACCAGTCCCACTTGGGTAGGCAGGGAGGGAATGTTATGGTTCCCATCAATTAAAGAACTTCAACTGGCAGGGTCTAGGCCAGGGGTCTCCAACCTTGGCAACTTTAAGACTTGCGGACTTCAACTCCCAGAATTCCTCAGCCAGTCCACAAGTCTTTTTTTTTTTATTTTAAATATTTTATTAATTTTAAAAGTAAAACAATGAACATTGCTCAGCATCTCTGGTTTCTAACATTTGCGTCTAAATCAAGTTAATAAGTAATCTATTCCTTGATCTATATACAAATTTACATATCTCCTATTTCATTATATATCAAGTATGTAGTATTTTACTTCCTAAACAACTATGCATGTATTTAATAAACCTATATTACATTCACAAATTCAATATACATTGAAATTCACAAATTCAATATACCAGTCCACAAGTCTTAAAGTTGCCAAGGTTGGAGACCCCTGGTCTAGGAAGTAATCCTTCTCTGCTGTTGTCTCTGACCTATGGAACAGCTTGTCCTCAGAGGCAAGGCTGTACCCTCCCTCCTCTCCTGGCTTTCCAGAAGACCATTAAGACCTGGCTCTGCCAACAGGCCAGGGGTCCAGGAGTGCTATGCAGCCCTGGGGGTAATTGGTGGGCCAAAGGTGCTCCCTCTGCTTTTTTAACTTTGGAATCGGCCCTTTTAATTTTGTTTTAATCTAGTTTTTAAACTGTTTTAGGCATAGCTTTTAAATAATTTTAGTGTTTTATGTGAGGCAAGTGATATAGAAATGAGAGAGAGAGAGAGGGAGGGGGAGGGAGAAGGAGAAGGAGAGACAGAGTGAGATAGATAGATAGATAGAGAGAGAGAGAGAGAGAGAGAGAGAGAGAGAGAGAGAGAGAGATTGATTTTGACCTCTTAGGGGTGGCTCTTGAGGGCTACATCTAAATTTAGTTTATTATTTTTTCTATTCCTTTTTGAAATGTTTTATATTGTCCATAAAAAAGATTTGACATATATGATATATTTTTTTCATTTATTGTTCGGATGCATTTTATCTTACTTTAAATTGTTTTAAAATTCACAATCATAGGAAAATTACAGATATACAAAATAAACGCGTAACTAAATTTCAGCACTGAGATCTGAAAGAATTCAAAGGCCCTAAAATTAGAAAACAGATGCTACACTGGGCCCTGGCTTAGGGGATGCCCAACCCTGCTTTTGGTGCATCACCAGGCAATGCATCACATGGAAAATGACTACAGTGACATTTTGAACATGAAGCATTCGTTTATGTGACAAAACAAAGCAGAATTTCTCAGCTCGGGTCATTATGTGTTCTAATTGCTCTGCTTGCATACAATACATTCACAAAACATGTACATACCAGTGGTAGGTTGCCCCCGGTTCAGACCAGTTCGCAAGAACCAGTAGTAAAACCGGTGGGAGGCTCCACCCACTGACTCGGACGTCATCATAGGTGATCTGCGCATGCGCAGAAGAGCACACGCGGGCGTGATGTGAACCGGTAGTAAAGGTAAATAGAACCCACCAGTGGTGGGATTCCGCCAGTTTGCACCACTTTGGGAGAACTAGTTGTTAACTTTCTGAGCAGTTTGGTAAACTGGTTGTTGGAAGAAATCATTAGGGCAGAGAACCGGTTGTTAAATTACTTGAATCCCACCACTGGAACCCACCCCTGCTACATACACAAATGAACTATACCAGTGGTGGGTTCCTCCCGGTTCGGCCGAGCCGGTAGCGGTGACAATATGACATCACCGAACTGGTTCTCTTTGTTCGGGAGCTGGGCCCTCCTGCCCCCCAACATTATTCTTACCTTTTATTTGGCCCCACCCCCCAATCTATTCGCTGCTTCCCGAGTCCCAGCTGATCGGCTAGAAGGAAAACTGTTTAAACTCTTGCCGCGGGGCTTCAAAGGGCCGCCCTACAGCTGATCAGTGTTAGACTGATGTGTGGTGGTAAGACCAGTGTGCTCGAAAAACAAATGGGTAGACCGGAACGCTCCAAGAACAAATGGGTCGATCAGTATAGCTCTGCAAGCAGTTAAAAGCCTGGTAGACCAGTACCTCTGCTAAATCCTAAAGAATTGTCACATGACCACCAAACCATGCCCACAAAATAAGCCACGCCCACAGAACCGGTAGTAAAAAAAATTAGAACCCACCCCTGAACTAAATCCACCCTGACCTTCCTTGATCTCTCTCTGGTTTTTGATACTATCAAACATCATATCCTTCTGGAGGAATCCACAGTGCTCCCCACTCCCCAAGCCCACAGAACCGGTATTAAAAATTTTTAGAACCCACCCCTGAAGTATATCTCTTGGATTCTTAAGAAATAGCCAAAGAGGAGAGAGGGAAACCTGAAATCAAATTAGAGCAGAAAGTTATTAATCTACAGTGCTCTCTTTTTTCCCAGGGGAAGTGGCCATAAGAGTAATATGAGCCAGAAATCTTCATTCAATCTCTCCAGAGACTCAGATCATTCTGCTGCCTTTATCGAAAGGTAGACCCAACACAATTATAAATAATGGCCGGGGCCCACTGAGATTGCAAACAGAGACTTCCTTTCCAGAATGTACCCTCTGGGGAAAAGGCACAAAACTTTTGTTGAGTCTGCAACAGTTGGGAAAAAAAAGCAAAAAAAGCAAAATATAAACACAAACTTACTACACACCAACTGCATATTATTCCTTCCCCCCCCACTCCATCCCTGAAAAGGAAAGCGGCTATGCCAATTATCTGCACTCGTGACTGAGAATCAGCAATGATTCTGTAATGCACTTCCTGGTGTTCCCCACAAACAGAACACAAACAAGCAGAAGCAGATGCTGAAAGCTGCCCCCCCCCAGCTGCTGAAATGACTGTTTCATCCACAGGCAGTTAATTCTGCACCTTGATACTGTAGTTCTTGACCTATTAAGTAAGAGGAATGCAAAACTAATTCCTAGGAGGGTCTGTCAACCAGTATATATATCCCAAAGAATGGAAGCACACAGACATCTAAAATCCCTTTTCTTTGAGCCGGGGCTCATATTACCATATGTGGTGGACATGTGTGGGTTCTAAATTTTTTTATTACCGGTTCTGTGGGCGTGGCTTATTTTGTGGGCGTGGCTTGATGGTCATGTGACAATTATTTAGGATTTAGCAGAGGTACTGATCTACCAGGCTTTTAACTGCTTGCAGAGCTATACCGATCTACCCATTTATTTTTGCCGGCACTGATCTACTCATGTATTTTTGCAGGCACTGGTCTACTCATTTATTTTTGCAGGCACCGGTCTACTCATTTGTTTTCTTTTAACACTGATCAGCTGTAGGGCGGCCCTTTGAAGCCCCGTGGCAAGAGTTTAAACAGTTTTTTTCCCTCTAGCCATCAGCTGGGACTCAGGAGGCAGCAATAGATTGGGGGTGGGGCCAAATAAAAGGTAAGAATAATGGGGGGGGCGGGCAGAACCGGTTCGGTGACATCATATCGTCACCGCTACCAGCTCGGCGGAACCGGGAGGAACCGACCACTGACTAAAATCCACACATGGTTGGAAAAAATGACAAAAAAACACATAGACTTTAAACCAGAGATTTTTTTTATTAGGAATTGTGCCAGAAACATACAATAGAGAATTGAGATATTTGATTGTGAATGTATTGACAGCGGCTAGAATTGTGCTTGCGAAAAACTGGAAAAATGAGAAAATACCAACGCAAGATGAAGTTATTAAGAAAATCATGTGCTGAAATGAGTAAATTGACATTTGAAATTAGAGAACAAGAAGATAAACAATATTATAAGATATGGGATTTATTTTACCAATGGCTAGATACTAAAACATGGAAATGAAATATGAAATATAAAATGAATGTTATAATATAATATGTGAAAACAATTTCTTTTGGAATGCCATTGTTAGATAAATGACAAATGAGGATAATGATATAAAGATATATATCAGGTTGATGATATGAGAAATTAGATAATTTGTAAAACGAAGCACAAGGGATTTGTAACCGATCGACACACTGTTTGCAATTGTAAGGGATGATGGATGTTTTATGTTTTGTTTGTTTAAAAATAAAAAAAAAATTCAAAAAAATAAAATAAAATCCCTTTTCTTTGTTTTGCAAGTCTGCAACTGAATCAGAAAGCAGAAGTTTGTTTGTACCCAAAAGACTTCTCTTTTCTTTTCACTAGTGTTGCTTGTGATAATCGTAAGATCAACAAAAGCTGTGGTGGGCCACAAGGAAGAAAACCACGTATGAAATGTATGAATCATTGATGTACAGCAAGCAATATGAGTGGATCATTTCCCAACACAAATTGAATTCCAGCTGAATTCTTCCCAGCCCAGTAAACTAACCCCTTCCTCCCCGCCCCCACCCAGGAACCTCCCTTGAACCACAATTTGGGGTTTCAGTTTGATTTGAATAGCACCCTTTTTGCCCATTTTGCAGCCATCCGAAGAGAAAGTCCCCCTTTTATTCAACAAGCAGATTCGATGTTGCTTAATTCATGGCGAACAATGGCTCAGGGAACCAACGGCACCAAGCGCGCCCGGCTTTGCGATGAAGTAGCTTTACGAGAGAGAGAGCTCTAATTATATGCATCTTCTGAATAAGTAGCCATAGTGCATTATTTTTGGAACAGAGTGAGAAGAAAATGTTTGCAGAATCTGAATACTTTCTCCTCCCGAAATCTGAAAGCTGGTCATTAAAAAAAACAAAACAAAAAACTTTTATGTATATATGTGTGTACGTATGTGTGTATGTTTGTATTAGATTTATGTCGCCCCTGTCCCTGCTAAAGTGACTCTGAATGTATTTGCATTTGGAGTATTTACGTTTCTATGTTTCCCCAAAACCTTATTTCCTCCCCCAGCAGTACACAAATGTGTTACCAAATTCAACACCATCTAGAGTTTTTGGAGTGATTTCAGTTCATAAATCTTATAAATAAAGTAAAAAAAACAATAACAAATGAACAAATCAATTAAACAACAACAATAATAAGCAGAATAAAAATGATGAGGAAAAAAATCGAATCGAATCAAGAAGGAAGCAGTAGTCTGTATCTTGAAAATGGTTTTCTAAAATACCTCAGATTTTTTTTTAAAAAAAGTTCTTTCATCTAGTGCTGGAAGGGCTAGAACGTAGAGCTATACAATATAGAGCCATGCAAGTATTCCAGACAGGAGATCCCGCTAATCAAAATCTCCTTTCTCCTATGACTTTCCCCTGTGCATACCCAGGTTTTCCTTCTGAGCAATATACATTACAAGCAAACTAAACCCAGACTGCCATGCAGATGGACCAATATTACCAGGTTAGTTTCAAGAGATAAATCCATTTTCTATTTTAATATCAAGCTGACCAGTGGTGGGTTGCCCCCGGTTCAGACCGGTTCACAAGAACCGGTAGTAAAACCAGTGGGAGGCCCTGCCCACCGCCTTGGATGTCGTCATCGGAGATCTGCGCATGCGCAAAAGCTTCCGTTGCGATCCCGTTGCGAACCAGTAGTAAAGGTAAGTAGAACCCACCCCTGAAGCTGACCCTTCTACATACTCTAGCCCAGGGGTCTCCAACTTGGCAACTTTAAGCTTGGCGGACTTCAACTCCCATTGAAGTCTGCCAGACTTGCCGAGGTTGGAGACCACTGCTCTAGCCAGCTCCGTCTTATCATCTGCTTGTCATTCTCCTTGGTCATCGCTGCATTTCTGGACCCTACTTAGGCTTCTGATCTGCCAAAAGGTGATAGACGGGGATCAGGAGGTTAAGGGCAGAGGATCAGGAGGGCTGAATCCAAAACCACAGAATGCAACAAGCATACATCCTGACCTCCACAAAAGCTGACTTCATTCACATCCTCCAATTATCAAACTAGAGATGAAAACTGGCTGAAATCATTTAACCCAAAGCACATACCACTGAATTGGTGGGTTACAGGCAATTTTTTTTTTTCTTATCTTACCAACAAAATCTACCAATTAGATTAGAACTCCTATTTTGCATAGAACAGTTTGGAGCAGTATTTCTCAATCTTAGCAACTTTAATATATGTGGACACCCATAATTCCCCGGTCAGCATGGGACTTCTGGGAATTGAAGTCCACATTTCTTAAATTTTCTGAAGTTGAGAAACACTGATCTATAATGACCCTGCTGAATCAGTAATGATAAGGACAGTAGTTCATTGGCTCTAGAGGAGCGAGGCTGGGAAGGCTAGCCTAGGTGGCTGAACTGAATTTACATCTGCATCTGAATGAACTTTCTATCCTAAATCCTCTCTGGCTACCCATTGCATTATCAACTGCCTGTGAGGGAACATGAATAGGAACCTATGAATAGGAACCTGGACTTGGAATGAAGGAGGCGGCTTCATGTTACATGCCTGCTATGGCTCTGCCTAAGCCAGCCACCATCACTTGGCTTCCGCTTCCCCTACGGTAGACAGGAGTGACAACATTGGGCAGGGGAATTTTAATGAAGCTGATAAAGCATTTTGCACGAAGCCCTATGCAAAACATTGTACAAAAATAGTGATCTGTTAAAAACAGGAACATATCCCGCCATCTGCTTCTAATTATGAATCCTGTGGAGTACATAAGGAACTGCCTTTGTTCAGGCCAAACTCTTTGTCCATCTTGCTCAGCAGCGTCTTTCTTACTGGGAACAACTCATCAAAGTTTCAGGTGGAAAAGAGCTCTTTTTTTAAAAAAAAAATTATTTTGCCCAGAGCTGAACCAAACCTTTTGCATGGGAAGCCTGTAATCACATGTCAGGCTGTCAATCTGCTATCCTTCCAGCCATGGGTTTATTACTTCGCACCTGAGGACCCTGTCATTTGTTAGCGACAGACGCATTCAGCAGAAAACATATGGGATTTTTCTCTCTAGAAATCCATCCCCCCTCCCAGTTTATGCAAATTTAGCCATGTGCCCTCCTCTTGAAAAGATGTGCCTCCGAAGTAAATTACAAAAAGGTCCATAAAATGAGAGCCTCTGAAACCTTATTTGAAAAGTCAAAGGGAAAACAACAAAACAAGCATTAGGGTTTGATTTAATGGAAAGGATCATGTAGATCAGGGCTCGTCAACCTTAAACACTCAAAGAGCCACAAAGGTCCTACTTGGGAGCCCCCATTCAATTCTGGAGCCGAGCTCCCCCATAATAGTCGCCTCCTAGCACGGCGTCCTTTTTCCTCTACCTGCCCTAACCAAAAGTCCTGTCAATTGTGGTGCTGACCAGCAACAGGGAGCCGCAGCAGAGGGATGAAAGAGCCACATGTGGCTCCAGAGCTGCAGGTTACTGACCCCTGATGTAGATCATAAAGTGGAACTTGTAGCTTTCCACAGTTCCTTGGAATTTATCTCTTCCAATAAACCTGTAGGACACAAAGTTCAGATATAATAGGGGCCCCAATAGAAGAGAATATCTGCAACTCGGGGTTGAACTGCGACATCCTTGATGTTTTCTGATCTTGGTAGTTTGCTTGTAGATGTTTCCTTACTCAGGTAATATCATAAGTGCTAATCAATGTGCTAGTGCCAGTGACTAGCACTGTGACCATTACTAGCCAAAAGCACTGATGATATTATTGAGTCAGGTAAACAACCAAGCTCAGAGAACACCAAAGATGCCATAATAGGGGCTACAGTACAAACACAGCTGTTGAACCACCAACTTCCTCACTTTAGTAGTCTATCCTGTTTCAAAAGTATATCAGCCTTATATGACTCTGGAAAGTCTCAAGCAGGGTTAAAGCCAGCAGCCTTTCCTTTTTGTATGCGTTTGCGGCTAGACTGGCTTTGAATGTGGGGATTCCTTTGGACAGCCTGGGATAGAGCTGCTCATTTCTATGAATTGGCCTAATCATTTTTTTATTTTATTTTTTTTGCATGACAGTAGTAGACAACTATATCAGCTATTGCCCCATCCAGGGACAGTAAACTGCACAAATCAGTTAAGAGTTTTCATGGTCCGAGCCAACGGGACAATCAATTTCATTGGGTGAATTTATTTTAAAATGTTCTGAGATACTCTGTGGTGATATTATGGGAAGATTCAGAAAGGACAACGCTGTGTCAGTTATCAGTTTAGGAATAATTACCATGTCTTTCTTTTAAATAAAAACAAAGTAAAAAAAAACACAGGAAAAACAAAACATCAAATACCGTTGTCCATAAATAAGATCTACCACGGTCTCTATCATCCACGAGTCTTCATCGCAGAGGATTTTTAATATGCCACACCCATTGAGGAAATGCCAAACTGCTTCAAAACAAAAGTCGAGTGCTGTAGCTTTCTACATTATCTTTAAACAAATTGCACCGTAATTCACTCAAGAGCCTTAGGGCAGAATAGCTGATTATATGTGGAGAATTCCACACAATCCTGTTAACATGAAAGGAACAGGTGGGTGTGGCAGCTTCTGTTATAGCACATAAACCGAGAGAAATTGAGGTAAGTTCTGCAGTTTGAAAACCTGCCCAATTTGATCCCAAATCACCCCACAAAAGCAGCTGGGAAAAAAGGTTGCTCTTTTGTGTGGATTGCAATTTTATTTTATTTTTTAAATCAAGGGCTGCTTTGGCTGTTCGCCAGGAGAAGCCACTACAGATGCTATTTTCTTAAGATAACAGGAAGCTTGCAGACATAACCGCTCACAAGAGAGATCACCGGATTTGATGTCACTGCAGAAATCACTTAAATATATTATGGGTGGGGGGAGTAATTATAAATGGTTCCCCTTATGGACAAGAAACAACAGGTACCTTCTGCAATGGTTACTGATATATCCAGATGCTCAACACCATTAACTTTTATGGGTTGCCATAATGCATGATTAATGTGAGAAAAGCTAAGAGCGGAGAGAGGATGCAGAGTTTATTTCATAAAATATAAATGGATTTGTAAACTGTTTTTTCCCCTTGCAGTTTATTTCTCAGAGTTGCTGCCTTGCAAATTAGATTTCACTCCACTCCACCCTCCCTAAACTCAGTGGGACATTTCTGAGCAAATATTGCACTGCAACATTCAGGTTCCCGAGTTTCAACATCAGAAAAAAAGAGAGAAAAAGATGCTTATTTTGCTATAGTTACTTCCGACTCTTCGGGTCAACAAACCAGGTTCCTTTTTAAGAAATCAGAATTAACAGTTTCACATTTGATCCACGTCACGTCTCTTTCTTCTGAGAATGCTTTTGGAAGAGAAGTTCCCACAAGAAAAAAAAAATGAGACATTTGCAATTATTCAATGCTATTTTGAAAAAAAATAATAATGAGAGTTTAGGGGAAAATATGTTGAGAAGCTAATCTCCAGCTTTTAAAACAGATGAAACAAGAAGCAGGAAAGCAGCTAATTTCCATTCCACAAAGATTAACAGGCGGGTTTTCTAAATTCAGCCTTTGTTCTCCCAGTCTGAAATTTCTTTCATGGCTTTTTGTTAATAGTTTTGCCCCTAAGCCTTATTTCCACAATCTCAGAATTCAGCAAAGATGCACCCATGCCTGCTTTATGAATGGGAGAAGAATAAAGAGGAACGGCGGATCCATTTGCTTTCAAGAGAAACCCAGCCAGGTTGCTCATTCATTCTACACAACCACTTTAAAAACCTACTAT